CATAGAACAGTTTCCTCTCCATGCCACAACATGGAGCGGGGTTCGACCCCACCTATCAGTGTCGTGTACCAAGTGTGGGTAAGTGTCACATAACAACGTCACCATCTCTTCTCTCTTATACCAACACGCCCTATGTAGGACATTGTAATTGTTATTATCCCTCGCTGTAAGAGTGACGTCATACTCCAGTAGTTTACGTAACACTTTCACTCTCTCTCTCTCCACCACACTAAACACTGTCTCCTTGTCAGGTTCTACTCCCTCACACAGAAGATATAAAGCACATTCTTCTGCACCAGATAAACATGCTTTATTCAACACAGCAAGTTTTGACTCATCATTCAAGTATACAACAATTTTTCCAAGTAGACACACTTGTCTGTTACTATCATTCCAAGGTCTACTAGTAACCAATGACAATGCTGTGTCCTTGTCAGGTTTTACACCTTCTGACAGAAGATATAAAACACATTCTTCTGCACCAGAACAACATGCTGTATTCAACACATCAAGTTTTGACTCATCATTCAAGTATACAACAATTTTCCTAAGTAAACACACTTGTCTGTTACTATCATTACAATGTTCACTAACCAATGACAATGCTGTGTCCTTGTCAGGTTTTACACCTTCTGACAGAAGATATAAAACACATTCTTCTGCACCAGAACAACATGCTGTATTCAACACATCAAGTTTTGACTCATCATTCAAGTATACAACAATCTTCCTAAGTAAACACACTTGTCTGTTACTATCATTCCGATGTATAATAACCAATGACCACCATGCTGTGTCCCTGTCAGGTTTTACACCTTGTGACAGAAGATATAAAGCAAGTTCTTCTGCACCATGTACACATGCTTTATTCAACACAGCAAGTTTATCAACTTTTCTGTCATTCAACAACCCGACAAATCTTTTAACAAATACAGGATCATTCCATACATCTAGAGAGCCAATACTAGTACCATATTGATACTCCTCACATTCAAACTCTCGGAGTAGACGCTCACACATTTCTGTATAATGATCAGATGATATGACAATCCTGTTTGTAGCTGTCTCTGAGGTTGGTAGATAACGGAGGGATTTCCTGGGACAATTCTGTATGTAGCCAATCGGTGTGACTTTTCCATACAAAAGTGCCACAGCAACATAAATAGAATCATGATTAAATCTGTACACATCCTCACCAGACCAATGTTTCTCCTTCTTTACCAAAAATCCTACCAACTTCTCTAAACTTTCTTTTACAAATCCTAGTTTTTTCTTATATGTCAAATTGGTACTGTCACTTTCACCATCAATTAAATTGATATCAAAAGCTTCTTCCAGCAATTTTTGGTTGTCATTTTGACTGTTTGGATCCAGATCTTTTACCTTTATCATACCATTATTGAGGAAGAGATACAAAAGAGCAGAACATTCTTGTAATTTTGACAATGTTTCATTCAAAAAATGAAAAGGATTTTCAAAAAATGTCATTCGCTCTTTCTGCAATTCTTCAGAATTGTAGAAAAGCTGGCAACATTGTGGGAATCCAATGTTTGGTGCATAATTTAAAATTTGTGTTTTTTCTTTGTCTGTCCATGAAACGTTTTTTGGCTTATACAGCTCTAAAAGTTCTTTTTTTTCTTCTTCAAGTTTGTATGTATGTGAACTCAGATCAATAATGTTATCTTCGGTTAAAATTGTTCCAAGAGAACGTTTTTCCAAAGAATTGAATACTTCATTACGAATAGTAATGATGAGAAAATTGGTCTCGGCAAAAAGCGTTTTTACATCGGAGATCCTTTTGTTCCACTCGTGTACATCAGTTTCACACACATCTTTCTCACCAAAAATATCATCAATAAAAGTGATTAATTTCATGTTTGTTGCCAATAAATCTAATTTCTTAATCTCGTGAAGTTGTAGGGGTTGTCCGGCTTGCTGCTCCTCACTCAGCCAATGAAGGAGTTGAACGGCGATTGCTGTTTTACCGTCTCCCGTATTGCCTTTGATGACAACAACCCTGTTCTTTAGGAGCTTTTCTTTAGCATCAAAGAAACCTTTGGTGGGGTAGAATTTGTCGTCCTTTTTTTCTGTTATAATTTTGGCTTTGGTTCTTTCTGAAAGAAAAAAAAGAAGATATAGGCTGAGAAGTCGTAATTGTGTGAAACTGATATTTTATAATAAAACCTATGTAAGTCAAAGTTTTGTTTCCATTTTACTTTCNATATCATAAAATATTTCGACTGATATTTTACCAATCACAGAAAACAATATGTAACCGGTTATGATAACCAATCAACACAAATTTAGAAACTTTATTCTCACAAAACATTATGTAAGCAAAAATCAGTTTCCAGACCATTCAAAATCACAATGAATCATGACGTCACAAATACGTTTAAGATGACGTCACAAAATGAGGTATTTTTAGCAGTCTAATAGTGTTAATCAATTGAAATTCTTTCTAAATTTATGTTTATTCATTTATGTACCAATAATGTTTAACCAAGTCTTGGCATGTTTATCCTAAAAGAAGTAATTATTTCTAATGTCTCTGCTAGGAATCAAACCCAGGACCTCTGTTTTACTTGTCTTGTGTTCTAGCAAATGAGCTAAAAAAAGCCCAATAGATAGAGGTCAGACTAGTAAGCCAGTGATTCGATGACGTAAATCCCTAGAAGAGACATTGTAATCATGAATGATGTTACTTATAGTTGTTACAGAATAAGAGGCCTTATGGCCTTGAATTCCTCACCTGGCTATTTTGGAAATCTAGTTGAAATCTGACCGACACTTTGGGAAGAGAGTGCCTAAGAGGGTCAGCCCTTCATATTAATTTAATTCATTTGCGTAAATTTTGATCCCCATGGATAAAGGACACTACCAAAGCAATTTGCTTAAAACCTGCCATGCAATTTTGGAAGAGATGTCATTTAAAGTTAAACTTCCAATTCAACCTTTTTTGATCCTAACTCTCAACCCCCAAGAATCAGCTCTTAATTTGTGTAAAGTTTGATCCCCACGGGCCAAAGATGCTACAAAAACAATTCTGTTCAACCTTGCCCATTAGTTGGGGAGATGTCACTTAATGCAAATCTGCCCCCAGCACCCAGTGGGAGGAAGAGGAGGGGGAACCCTTTATCTATAAATCTTTTGAATCCCTTGGCATAAGGATTTGAGAATTTGGTTCAATTCTGCTTAACGGTTTAGGAGATGTCATTTAAAGCGAAAATTGATCAAAGACAGAGACGACGACAGATGAAGCACCACAACAAAAGCTCACTGGTACTTTGTTCCAGATGAGCTTATAACTCCAATCTGATTTAAACAAAATCTTTCATTCTATTCCTCTACAATTTTTATGATGTAAGATATGATGACGTGGCAAGAAGTCATGACCTGGTGACCTTCAATACAGAAGTCATGTTTAATTACATGTTTTTGAAATATTGAAACTATTTGGAGGGCATTTCAATGATTGGCTGCAGTGTCGTTCACCAGAAAATGACCTGTTATGAACTATTGTCAAATCCTACATCAAAGTGTGTAGGAATAGAAAAAGAATAAATTTAATCAGATTGTAGATATGCAAACCAAGATTTTTGTTCAAATAGAACTATAAAACTTCTTTCTTATAATATCTTTAGATGATGTATGTTTTTCTTGTTTTAAGGAAATCTGCTGCGTTTCTTCTCTAACCATGTCCAATC